TCTTTCCTAGGTCTATCTGGAGATGCTGGGAGTTGAACATGGGATCTTCAGCATGCATGGTGGAAAAAGGGTGATTGAACCAATCACTTGGCATTTTTCTGAGTACCAGGATATTAAAACATATGATGCCTGGGCATCATCTGGGTTCCTCCTAAGGACCACAGGGCCCTGTCATTGGTTTAAGGATGCCAAGTACTGGCAGGAATCCTGAGCCTCAGAAAGTATAACATAAGCAACATGTTACAGCAGAGTGTCAACTTCAGAGCTATGGAATACATGGCAGCCCTCCAGATGCTGTTGGACTGCAATTCCCATCAGCTTGAGCTATTGTTGCCAGTGGTGAATGCTGATTGAAATGGCAGTTTAACACCATCTAGAGGGATAGATATGCTCCCCATCACATTGAGCTCTAGTTCTTGATTTCATTTGATCTGTTTCTTGATTTTTTTTAAATTTTTTTTGGAATGAAATAGAGACTTGCCAGTAGTTGGCAGACACATTGAGGAATGGAAGATTGGGCTGTGTGATAATCAGGGTGGGAAGGAACTTATATTTTTCTTTCCTGTTTTCTTTCGTTTTTCTGTGTCTAGGGAATTATTAGTTTACTTGGCTTGCTAGCAGAAAAAGAAAGAAGACTCTATGTATGTTTGTGTGTGTGTATTTTCTGGCTGGAGTAGGAATTGCTGTTTTAAAGGCACCAGATTGGTTCTCTATTTTTGGTGTCCTGTCAGATCTCTTAATCCTGCCAAAAATGTTTTTTTAAAGTACATGATGTACATATGGGGAAGGGTTCTGTGTGTGCTCACATGCATGCATGTGTGTGTTTTCATAGAATCATAGAGTTGGAGGAAACCACGAGGGCCATCCAGTCCAACCTCCTGCCATGCAGGAACTCTCAATCAAAGCATACCCGACAGATGGCCATCCAGCCTCTGTTTAAAGACATCCAAAGAAGGAGATTCCACCACTCTCCGAGGGAGTGTGTTCCACTGTCAGAACAGCCCTTACTGTCAGGAAGTTCCTCCCAATGCGGGGGAATCTCTTTTCCTGGGTCCATTGTTCTGGGTCCTGTTCTCTGGAGCAGCAGAAAACATGCTTGCTCCCTCCTCAATATGATATCCCTTCAAATATTTAAACAGGGCTATCATATTACCTCTTAACCGTCTCTTCTCCAGGCTAAACATACCTAGTTCCCCAAGTCTCTCCTCATAGGGCATGGTTTCTAGACCCTTCATCATTTTAGTTGCCCTCCTTTGAACATGCTCCAGTTTTTCAAAATACTTTTTTTAATTATGGTGCCCAGCACTGGGCACAGTATTCCAGGTGGGGCTTGACCAAAGCAGAATACAGTGGGACTATTTCTTCCCTTGATCTAGACACAGTACTTCTGTTGATGCAGCCGAAACTTGCATTGGCCTTTTTAGCTGCTGCATCGCACTGTTGACTCATGTTCAACTTGTGGTCTACTAGGACTCCAAGATCCCATTTGCACTTATGGCCTTTACAGACTGCCATAAATAATGCAGCTTGAGGCCACTTTAAGTGCCCTGGCTCAGTGCTAGGGAATCATGGGAACTGTAGTTTATTGTGGCACCAGAGCTCTCTGACATAAAGGCTCAATGTCTCAGAAAAAACTACAGTTCCTATGATTCCCTAGCACTGATCCAGGGGAGGTAAAGTGGACTTTAGCTGCTTTATTTCTGGCAGTCTGTAAAGGCCTTAGGGCCTTTGCAGACTGCCAGAAATAGTACAAATTGAGTCCACTTTAAGGGTTAGGGTTAGTGCTAGGGAGTAATGGGAATTGTTTTTTTTTTCTGAGACATTGAGCCTTCTCTGTCAGAGAGCTCTGGTGTCACAATAAACTACAGTTCCCATGATTCCCTAACTCTGACCCTTAAAGTGGACCCAATTTGCACTATTTCTGGCAGTCTGCAAAGGCCGCCTGTCTCCTTAAGCCAGTTGTCACCTATCCTATATCTGTGCATTTCATTTTTCCGCCCTAAGTGTAGTTAGTACCCTACATTTCTCTGTGTTGAAATTCATAAAAAATTCTGCACTTTCTGGATAATATCTACATTATTAGCAATGTGATTCAGCATTTACAACATGTTCACTTTCTTTAGTTTTGAAGGATAGGTCAATTCAAATGCCACAGTCTTGAAAGGGAATTAAGGATGTAGGGAGGATAGGGAGAGGAACTGCCTCAGGATTGTCAGGATTCTGGTGACCTCACAGTTGGTTCATAGGCTGATAATCTTTTCCTTTGGGAGCTTTTTTACCATGCAAGGAGGGGTATTACAGAAGAAGCAGTGACTTTCTTGAGATAAGAAACTGTGTGATGACAGCTTCCAAAAGCAAGCTGTTTTATGTCTGAAGTTGTCCTTTGAATGACATAGTCTGCTGAGTGCCTTCTAATGCTGCAATCCTAAAGCACAAAAATAAAGCCCCATTAACATTTTCCTAATAAATTGATTGTAATTATATTTTAAGGTTTTCTTGTCAATGGCCAGAAAAATGGAGAGTGTGTAGGAGTGTGGTTATCACAGTAACAATTCTAGGTGGCTTGGAAACAGTTTCTGGTTGCCACTTGGAATAGCCTTCATATAGTTGTATTTTCTGGTATTTGTCAGGGTTCGAATCCCCCACTTCACTTTGGAAACCTATTGGGTAACCTTGTACAAGTCACACTCTCTCAAGCCTTTGAGGAAGGCAAGAGAAAACCCCTTGTTAATAAATTCAGCCAAATAAATCCTGTGATAGGGTTGCCTTAAGTCAGAAATGACTTGAACGTGGCACACAGCAACATATTACTAATTGAATGTGTACATGTTTACACATGTATACACAGAATGTGCACCAGTAGGTGACACCAGGTACACTAGAGGTTTTGAACCTTTGGCCCTCTACATTAGATTGTTTTGGAGCTCCCAGAAGCTTTAGCTACCAAAACCAGTGTGAGCCAAAAACACAAAATATCTGGAATGCCAACAGTTGAGAATCATTGAGATACATCTTGCTCTTGAAATTCTTGCTCCTGAGGCATCAAATCTAAGTTGCTGTTGAAAAACGAGAGGGAAAAGGGGTGTGTGGGAAAAAGACATTTAAGGAAAATTAACTGAGGTCTATAATGATCTCTGCAGTTATGGTTTATGATATCTCTTACAACATTTTATGTTTTAGTGGATATTTCTTTTGTGGATGGAACTGTCACAAGCCCACACAGACATCCTGCTGGCTCCCTGCTAAACTGAGCTTAACAGAGCAGGAGCCAGCTTCAAGACTCTGCGTTCTATCCTGCTAGGCAAGGGATGGGGATTGTGTGGCACTTCAGAAGTTTTTGGACTGCACCTCCCATCATCCCTTATTATTTATTGGTGGTATTGGCTAGAACGCATGATGCATTCCCCATCTGTAGCACAACCATTTCTTACCCAGGAAAATATGTCTTTGCATTCTGTGAACAAAGAATGGTAGGAGGCTGAAGAAACTGTCCCACTTGCCTTTTCAAATGACTAAGGGCCTTTACAGACTGCCAGAAATAATGCAGCTTGAGACCACTTTAATTGTCTTGGCTCAATGCTAGGGGATCATGGGAATTGTAGTTTTTTCTGAGACATTGAGCCTTCTCTGTCTCTGGTGCCACAATAAACTACAGTTCTCATGATTCCCTAGCACTGAGCCAGGACAGTTGAAGTGGCCTCAAGCTTAAAGTGGCCTCAAGCTGCATTATTTCTGGCAGTCTGTAAAGTCTCTAAGAGGTATAAAATAGTGGGGTCTCATGTTACCTTTGAAAGACTAATGAGTTTAGACTGCAGTCCTCTATTTATCAGAGAGTAAATCCCATTGAACTCATTGTGGATTACTTTTAGGTACACTTGTGTGTAACTAAACTGCTTTTAGGAGTTTTTGAAGAGTATTTTAATGTGTTTTAAACATATTATTTCTTTGTATTGTTTTAATTGTTTTTTATTTGTTCATTGCCTGGGGAGCCCATGTGGGCTGAGAGGCGATACAGATATAGCGTAGTAGGGTGTGGGAATCATGCAGTCCTACAGTTGTTGGAGTTCAGCAACCTAATCAAAATAGTCAGTGGTCAGGAATGCTGGAAATTGAAAATCAGTAACATCTGGAGAGTTTCCTTATTCCTCTTCCACCCCACCCCACCCCAATGTAGTATGAGTTTACAGAGTATAGAGCCTAATGTTTGCAATCTGCCTTATTACAGTAGGCGTCAAGGTTTTCAAACATGGGATCCACATCTGATTGCATCTTGAGACCCACTTGCTTCTAATTTAATTTGAAGTGCTTTTATTCCCAGGCTTCGGCTGCTGATACCAGAGTTATAATTTCCATCTACACTATAGAAATAATGCAGTTTGACACCACTTTAAATGTGTAATCTTATAAGGTCTTTAGTCTTTACTTCCAAAGGGTGCTGAGTCCTCTGAAAACTACAAATCCCAAGATTCAGTAGGATGGAGCCATGACACTTAAAGTGTTGTCAAACTGCATTATTCCTACAGTATAGATGCACTCATAGTCCAACACTAACTGCTACACCACACTGGTATATATGTTTATTTTTATCCTTCGGGATAAATCCTCGTTTTTCAACTGGTTTTTGCCTTGCTTGTGCTGTTTTCTGTGCTGGTGTTGAAAAGTCACACTTGCCAATACATTTTCCCCCTGCACTACTATTAAAGATAGAGTAACTATATCCTCCCTTGTGTCTGGTAACCCCTTTCTCCCTGTTTTCTTTTACCTCTTTCCTTCTATTTTAAAAAAGGAACTTCCAGAAACTAAAAATAGCATTGGTGTCAGCAGTGTGACTCATTTTAAACTGGGTTTCTGCTATGAAGTTAAAATTATGTTTGTGGATTCTTCCACTTTAAGGGTTTTGACATTCAGGCGGCAGTATTTCAGTTTTTTTTTTTGGCTATAATTACCTGCTTTAGTATGAAAACTGTTTGCAGTGAAGTACCTCTGGAGTGAGAGGGCCAGCCAGTGTGGTGTAGTGGGTTGAGTGCTGGATTACAACTCTAGAGATCAGGGTTCAATTCCATTCTTGGCCCTAGAAACCCACTGGGTGACCTTGGGTGAATCACACATTCTCAGCTCCAGAAAACTGTGATAGAGTCCAGTTAGGGCAGAGGTCGGCAACCTACGGCCCGTGGGCCACACCCATCCCGCAGACCCCTGCCGCCTGGCCCCCGTGGACCGCTGCCGCATGCGCCGCAGCCAGTGGCCATGCCACCGCCATTTTGCTTTCCTAAATGGTGGCTGCGACTTGTTTGCGCATGTGCAGTACTCCTGCACATGCGTGAACGAGCCGCGGTGTGCACGGCCAAGATGGCGCTGCGGAGGAGGCCCGTCGCCGCCGAGGGAAGCCTCCCGGGGGGCACCTGCGGTGGCATTGGGCCTCTCAGAGGGAGCCCTCCTGGGGGCAGCCGTGTGCATGCGCATGCGGGGGGGGTGCCGCCATTTTGTTTTTCAAAATGGTGGCATGCGTGATCGCGGGGGGTGCACGTGCACCGGCCCCCAGCGCCAACTCTCCCTCCCCCGGCCCGTCGGCAAAAAAGGTTGCCGACCCCTGCCTTAGGGTCTCCGTATGTTAGAAGCTACTTGAAGGCCCATAACAGCAATAAGCTCTGGAGTTTCTAGAGCTTTGGTAAATTCTGGTGAATTATAGTAAGATTGGAAAACCTGTGATTGATTGATATTTGGTGACAACTCCTGTTATTGCTGATTATCAGCCATGATGAGATCCAGCATGGTGTAGTGATTTGCATGTTGGGCTTAGATTCTAGGAGACTAGGGTTTGAATCCTCACTCAACTATGGAAACCACTGGTGGTTATGGTTAAGCCCCCCTCCCAGCCTCAGTGGAAGGCAGTGGTAAACCTTCCTGAACAAATCTTGCCAAGAAAACCTGTGAGCTGGAAATGACTTGCAGGTACACAGCAAGAACAAATTGGTGATGCTGGTTGGGGCTAACATGAACAGGAGAACAACGGCAGGAGGTCTACATGTTTCCCCACCATTAGAATATTTGAACTGGCTGACTAGAAAGTTTATAAACAAAAATCAGATTTCCTTGCTGGATCTGAAAAGACTATCAGTTGGGCTGTTCCTGTTTTGACACATTCAGTGTTCTAGCCCTCTCCAATCACATGCCTGCATTGTTCTAGCCCTCTCCAATCACATGCTAACTGGGGATGATGGACATTGTACAATTCGATGCCATCAATTTGGGAAAGGGTGTCTTAGGTATTTATCTTCATGTGAGTTACTATTGCTTTTCCCTTATAATTGCCATTCCAGTAATTATAAAGATAGGTTTTCACTGTAGAACTTTGTAGGTTTTTGGTTCCAACTATGCCCTGTAGGACTGAAGGATATATATACATGCACAGCAGAAACAAATGTCTAGGGTATGGGTGTGGGCAGAGTGTGGCCTGCAGACTACTGTAAATGCCAATTTGAGGCTCCAGAAGCCTTTCCCCAAATCCTCAATATTAAAAAAAAAACATTGCCTGGTGATTTTTCACCCCAAACCTTCACCTATGACAGGTCAAAATCACTGCGAAATGTAGTAATTTTGTATATGTAACCCTCCAGCCCCATATACTACAAAACTTAACTCCTCCTAAATCAGTCAAAATTGGTTGAAAATGAAGCTGGGTTTTAGATGAGGGTAAGGGTTTGAAAGAGATTTAAGGTTTGCAGCAGTGAAATTTCAAGTGACCATGCTTGGATAAATAATAAGGTATATTCTTATATGCTATGAGTGGAACTTGTGGTTATCTGTTTGTATCTTATAAAAACTCTAGCAGTGTTATCAGTACAAGTTCAAATGTTGTCTACCATTTTTTAAACAAAAAGCAATGCAGTCTTTGACATGAATATACCCATTCAGTTGTTTATTCCAACAGCAACAGCCCACCCAGAAGAGTCAGCATATTTTTCTTCTATTAGTGGGAAAGCAAATTAACCTATCCCCCTCATTTCTGTAAAGAAACCCACACAACAAAAAACTGTTTGATAACAGTGAATTGTATTGCAGGATTGTCATACACAATTCTGTTCTCTCAGTCAGATAGTGACAGAACTCAGAAACACTTTTTTTTTAAAAAAATTATAACTTCCAAGACTGGGAGTTTATATTCTTTGCCCTTCCTATCACTTTTCAGAACTCTATTGTTAAAACAATTTGAAACTGTTTAGCAAACCTAAACTAACAGATGATCTCTTAACCAGCATCACATCTCCCCATTCCTTATGTTATGATGTACTTTATTTTCATGGGCAGGGCAATTGTTTTAGAACTTCAAGAAGAAAACCACTCTGTTTTTGCTTGAAATTAAACTTGAACCAAACCACAAATGTTTTTGTGCCCCACCCCCCTTTTTTTTTTGCATAGATATCGCAGTGATTTTCTCTGGGCAACAAATACTCCTTTACCAGGGAAGACCAGAAAAACCGTTTCAAAATGAATCTGAAAGCCTTTCTCTGTATAGTGGGGATTCATGTATGACTCTAGTCCCCCACTCCATACCACAGTTTGAACATTAATTGCAGCTATGAGTGCACTCATTGGTTAAAAACACTCACTTCTGGCAATAAACAACAACATCCAGACTCACTTCTCACAAGATAATGGCTTAGAATGGTGTCTGAATTGTTTTGCTTTGTACCTTTCATTGTAAAACACCAAGAGACTTGCAGTTTTTTAAAAAAATGTTTGCTCGAGTCAGGTGCTATACATTCCCCTGTGCATCTTCATGACAGCGCTGCTTAACTCAATTAGTTACTCCAGTAAATATGCCTATATATATCAGCCGGTGTTTATTGTTCACCTGTTTGGGACTATTTTCCTCTTCAGCTCTATACTTTGCCCCTAGGAATGTTTTTTTCACATTGGAAACCATCCAGATCACCTTTATTACCAGATCGCACATTATCCATTGTTTGCCTTATTTTTCTCCTTGAAAACAGGTTTGGCCAACTGGTCATGAAAAGAATCGGGGGAACATGGGGACTAGAAATTAGTTATATCCTTTGAATAGCCAAGAAAAGTGGTTGCATATGGTTTGCAGCAATACGTTTGAACTGCACATTAATATAATTGGGATAACATATAATTTGCCCATTAGGCAGCTTAATAGCTGGGATTACATTTTCCATCTTGTTTTAGCAAACAGAGATCCTGCGTTTTACCAGTACTTTTCAAAACTGTTGGCAAATTTAATGAAGACAAGAGTTCAGTTTTCTAAATTTGCAAAACATCTGTCTTTTTTTTGCATGTTCTCTTTCATTCCTCTTTGAAATTGTTTATTAATTATTTATTAGAATACTTCTGTCCCACCCTTTTCATGGTATCTCACAGCAGCATATTATAGTGATACAATACAATATAAAACACTTTCAGATTAAAGCCATAAATAATTTAAATAAGGTAAAATATTTTAAACAAAACAACCGTTAAAACCACCTTAAAGGTTACAGCAGTTTTAAAACTATGTACATGTGTACTTTGAAATAAAACAGTCTCTGAAGGCTTTAATATAATACTATGCTTTGGTCAGAAAGAAATCAGTGCTGACACCAATCAGACCTTCAAGGGGAGGGCATTCCACAGTTGGGGTGCCATAGCTGAGAAGGCCCTCTTTCATGTCCTCCTACTTTATATTACCCCCATTCCTCACAGTATGTTTTGTGTAACTTATTCATGTGTTGTTGAGCTGCATTCTTAATGTGGGTTCACAGTTAAAGATCAGTATATACAGCTTAGGTCCAGACTATTTGAGAGACCGTATATCCACATATGAACCTGCTAAGCTCTAAGATCTTTAGGGAAAAGTTTTCTCTCGGTCCCACCACCATGGCATGCTCGTTTGGTGAGGACATGAGAGAGCGCCTTCTTGGTGGCTGTTCCCACCCTATGAAATGCCCTTCCACAGGAGGAAAGGCTTGCCCCCTCCCTGCTCTCCTTTCGCTGGCAAGTAAAAATGTTTTTATTCAGGCAGGCTTTTTAAAATCATGACAGGGTGACTTTTATATGGGGTATGTGTTTTAGTTATGTTTTGAACTTTTGTATGTTTTAATGTAATAACTGGATTATTTTAATTGTTTCACATTTTTTCTTGTAAAGTTTTAAAAGTATTTTTATCCTGTGAGCTGCTTTGGTTCTCTTTCTGGGAGAAAGGCAGAATAGAAATAAAATAAAATATATTTCCTCTTCCTGTCAGAATTGGAAGGGAACTGATATTGCTGGTGTAGTTTGAAAGAATTAACTAGATAAATCCTTAGTAACCTCCTGCATGTTACTGGTGCTGGGTTGCAATCCAAAGGATCCTGGTTGTCTCAAGAACCTCTCTGCTAGTGCAAAGTAAAAAAGAGACTTTCAGTTCCATTTTGTTCTTCTTTTTTTGCCCATCATCAGTGGGACCACAAAACTGATGCCCTGATAAATTTGCTAGTTATGGCCATTTTTAAATATCTCAAGGGCTGTTAGTTGAGAAGGGTGATAAATTTGTTCTTTGCTCCCTCAGAGAGCAGGACCAGGTCTAATGGTTTTAGATTACAGGAGGGTAGATATTGATTGAACATTAGAAGAACCTTCTTGATAGTAAGAATGGTCTAGCAAGTGAATCAGTTGCCCAGAGAAGTGGTGGGATCTCTTTTTCAGGATATCATACATACTTGACTATAAGTTGTCCTCATGTATAAGTCGATGGCAGGTTTTGGGGCCAAAATTATGGATTTTAATACAACCTGAGGATAAGTCAAGGATAAAACTTAGGGGCATGTAACAAAAAATCTAAAGGATGAAGCAATGGAAAACAATGCTAAAGAACTTTAAAAATTCGAGCAGGCATAACTGTTTGTGCTCATACTAAAGGCTGGGTTGATGAAAGAGTAGAAGAAGGTCAGTGCTTTCTAGACAGATTGCACTTTTGCCTTTCACCAGGGGGTGGTTCCCTTTTTTTATAATCAGTTAGAAGTACAGTACTCAAACTGACCCATGGATAAGTCGACCCAGGGTTTTGAGGTCAATTTTTTAACTAAAATT